GCCATTTAAAAGGATGCTCCCATATGATGTATGTGGCAGTGACTGACAACTACACATATAGTATTCCCTCAATAAAGACTTGAATCTTTTTAGACACAAGAGCATTTTGCTTTAAAATTCTCAAGGTTTTGTCAAGAATTGGGACTGATATCAATGAAGTCATTCTGTGTATCTTTGTTGAAATGCTTTTTTAAAAAACTAATCTCACTAATTGGGGTCAAGAACTGGGATTGATATCAATCATGTCGTTTCACGTATGATTGTTGAACAGTTAGGTTATAAACCACAAATGGAGTTTGAGGCTGTAAAAGGCATATCTTAATAGTATTTTGAGGTTATTGACATTACTATACTTTCAATACAAACAGGGTTTCAGATGCTGATTTTAATCAGAGATGTGGAAGCCCTGTGGTTGGTTTCATGATCATCTATCCTACTATCAATGATTAATCTATACCAGAATTTCCCAAAGTGGGCAGTACTGCCTCCTACAGAATGCTTGGTGGAGTAAGGCCAGTCGCAAGCATTGGGTGTAACTGGAGGTATTTTCTTCTTGCTTAAAAGAGATTTATTTTTCGAGGTCCCTTCTTTTTCCTCCTGCTCCTGCTCCTCTCCCTCTTCCTCTTTTTCTTCCTCCTCTTCCTTCTTCCCCTTTCTCTCCCTTTCTTCATTCCTTTCTTTCTCTTCTTTCTCCGACTCCTTCTCTTCTTTCTCCTCTTTTCTCTCCTTCCCCCTCATTCTCCTCACCCCTCCTTCCTCTTCCCATCTTCTGCTGTATCCTTTGACTTTCTCCCACCATCCCAAAAAAGATTTCTAGGGAATATCTGAAAAATTAATTTTTCTGAAAAGAGTGTGGTAGGCCAAATTCATTTGTGTGTTTGTTCTAGACCAGTGTTTCTCAACCCTTTCCTACTATGGTTCCCTACCAACCTATTTCCTCCCTATAAATAGCCTGTCCTACCAGGTGTACCCCTTTATCTCATGACATACTCCCCCATTTACTCAAGTTTTACCTGTTATATCCTTAGAATATTCTGAGCTCCAAAGTGGGGCCATACAGTTTCCCCTCCCATTGAGAAACATTGATCTAGAAGATCTAAAGTTTCTGATTAGAGCTTTACTAATAGAAATTTAAGGTTCGTTACCATTATTGTAATTTTTGCCATCTAGAAACATGATATATCTAATAGTTCTTTCAATATGTTTTATTTCAGTCAATGAAATTTATGGCTTTATGTTAAATAATTTATATATGCTTTCATTAAGTTTTGTTTTAGTTTAGTTTCTTTGTAAATTTTGGCAATGTAAATGGATTCCTTTTTGTTCTGTTTTATAGCTATTTGGAGAAGCTGCTGTTCTCAACCTTTATTTTGCACTTGCTTATGTTTTTTTACATTTTGTGTTTGTATTATGTTTATTTTGAATTTTACCATTTTAATGGGCTGAAGCAATAACACAGAGGGTAGGGCGTTTGCCTTGCATGCAACTGACCCGGGTTCGATTCTCCAACCCTCTCAGAGAGCCTGGCAAGCTACTGAGAGTATTCCACCAGCATGGCAAACCCTGGAAAGCTCCCTGTGGCATATTCAATATGCCAAAAACTGTAACAACGAGTCTCACAATGGAGATGTTACTGGTGTCCACTCAAGCAACTTGATGAACAAGGGGACAACAGTGCTACAGTGCAGTACTACCATGCTGGTAAATTTGGTTTGCCAAAGGAAGTATACTCCTTCCAATTAAAGATTTGTTTTCTTAAAAATTGTTATATGTGTTTTCATTGTTTTTAATTTTAAACTAGGAATGGATTTGGAGGTTCAATACCCATAGTCATCTCTGAATAGAATCAGTCATTTGTTTTCTTAAATTACTGCAGATGTATATAATTTGTCTGTTCTATAAAGTTATAGTATTACATTACACATTGTGAAGAAACAGGAAACCAGAACCTCAGCATCAGTGTCCTGTGGTTCCTTTTTTTGTTGGAGGTTAAGAGTGGCAGGGAAGATGGCTATTTTTCAAAACTGAGTCCATGCTCAAGCTATTGACTGAGAAATTGAAATTGGGTTGCCAGTTTCTGTTAGTGCTATTCTCTTCTCTCCTATTTGCGTGCAGTAGTTAGAGAATCTTAGAATTGAGCATATTCATTTCTGTTGCCTATTTTTAACATTTGGTTTTCAATAGAAGCTTTATTGACATGTTTTTGTCCTGATCTCTTTATAGATCTTGACATAATGGATCCCTCATTCTTTAAGTCCTGCCAAAGCTGAGACTTTTAAAACAGATTTCACTCGCTCTCTTTATCACAATTGAATTTTGCTGATCACCACAGGTTACCTATGACAATCCAGGTCTACTGATGTGTGAAATCCAATATAATTCCACCTTTAATCCTGTAGTAAGAATTCTCCAGAGAAACAGAACCAATAGAGTAGATTGATAGATGATAGAAAGAGAAATATCTCAAGGATTTTATTCATGCAATTCCAGGGTGTGTGTGTGTGGGGGGGGAGTTTGAAGTCTAAAAACCACTAGGACAGAACTCACAACTCAGTGTTCATAAGTTAAAAATCTTAAAATTCCTGAATTTAGGAAGCCTCAGTTTTTACTCTTAACACATTCAACTCATTAGTACAAAATCACCCATCTTTTGGAAGGCATAACTCTACTCAGCATCCACTAATGTGTCAAATATTAATCATATCTAAAAAATACCTATTCAGAAATGTCAACCTGGTGTTTGAATATATGAAATGGATACAATTTCATAGGAAGAGATGTGACATTAATAATGAAAATTCCCATATTCATTGGTACAGCCCTGGAAATAATTTGCCTTCAGTAAATGAAAAACAAAACTTAATATGCTGCAGACTTGTCAAGAAATTAGATGCAATAGTTTCTGAGTTTCTTATACCCTTTGCATCATCCTTATTGCCAGCAGTATTTATTTCTTTTGAAGGAAAATGACAAGACATACAAACGAAGGAAAACCTTTTTGGGTTTGAATAAGGCTTTAACACTTTAAAATTCCTAGCCTTATAATACTAGAATATCATGCCTATGTCACAAACAGAAGATCTGGGAAAATAACAACAACAAAATCATCCTATATCACTCTAGGAAAGATGGAAAGAGTACAAGGATAGGGTTTTAAAAGAGAAAGGAACAACCTGATTTAGGTAGTTTCCTACAAAGGCAATCCTGTGTCTTGTCATCACTGTATCACTGTCATCCTGTTGTTTATCGATTTACTCCAGCGGGCACCAGTGGGCACCAGTAACCTCTCCATTTGTCCCATCCCTGAGATTCTAGCAGTCTCTCCCTGCTCATCTTTCCCAATGCTGCCATATTGGAGGCTCTTTCAGGGTCAGGGGAATGAGACCCATTATAGTTACTGTTTTTGACATATTGAATATGCTACGGGTAGCTTGCCAGGCTCTACCGTGCAGACAGGATACTCTTAGTAGCTTGCTGGTCTCTCTGAAATATATATATATATATGATGTATATCATAAAGAGAAATATATACACATTTCCCTCTATGATGTGTTGTCTATTGTCTGAACCCCATCAAATATGGTGTGGTAATTATGGAAAATGGGTAGGGAGTGTCTTATGATGTGCCACGGCCGTGTGGTCCAAGAATATGTTCACTCATATGTGAGGCTTGCCCGAGCATGTGGAAAGCAGCCTGCAGCGTGGCGTTGGTTGGGTAGTGGAGGTCCGCTGCTAGGTCTGGGTCCCTTGGGGCAGGGAGGGCTCTCACCCGCCCCTTCTGGGGAGCCCTAAGTGACTTATTAATATTGTTTTTTAATTAGGGAGGAAATGAAGAATAGAAAAAAGATATAATCCCGGAGTTCAAATCAGTGAAGTTTCATCTGTATACAATCATAGGCTGAGTTACAGTACAGTGGGTAGATCTCTTACCTTGTACCCGGCGGATCAAGATTCAATCTCCAGCATCCCATACAGTTCCCCAAGCACCACCAGGAGTAATTCCTGAGTGCAGGGCAAGAAGTAAGTCCTGAGCATCAATGAGTGTGGCTCCCAAAGAAAACAAAATTAAAACAAAAAACTACAAGCTCCACAGAATGTTCCCTCTTGTAGAATGACACAGATATGGTTGGGTAGGAATGTCTGGATTAATCATGCTCCACAAGGAAAGAGCAAATCCTTTCTGTGCACTTCAGGTGGACCTGAAAGGCCTTAAAGTAAATCAGTCGAGAGATACCTATACCCAGAATAGACTGTGTATCTAACAATTTATCTAGACATGTCCAAAGACCAGATAGGAATGAGTAGAACATTTCCCCTGTATGAACACTGCTGTAGGTGGATATAGTGTTATCTGTCCATCTAACATGATTCCTACTTTGTGGCCCAGACACCCATACTCTTTGACTTCAAGCCTGACATTACTATGTGAATGGGAATCATGAATCTCTATTTTCTTTGAATATTTGTGATTTACACAGACTGCCTCATGAGTGGGCTGGAGCTATAGCACAGCGGTAGGGCGTTTACCTTACAAGCGGCCAACATGGCCGACTCGAGTTTGATTCCTCCGCCCCTCTCGGAGAGCCTGGCAAGCTACCGAGAGTATCTCACCTGCATGGCAGAGCCTGGCAAGCTACTCGTGACGTATTCGGTATGCCAAACACAGTAACAACAGAGTCTCGCGATGGAGACGTTACTGGGCCCGCTAGAGCAAATCGATGAGCAATGGGAGGACCTGTGACCTGTGACCTGTGCCTCATGAGTAACTATAATTATTAATAGTGGTTTCTTTTACACTAGAAAGTATACAATTCTGAGCTAAACACAACTTGGTGACCTAACTAAACTTTCAAATCTTAGGTACAATCTGAGAAAAAGTGGAAAGTTTGAACCAATTAAGTATCTTCTATCTGTAAAAATGATTAGAAAAATCTGAAAATAAAAATTATACTTATCTATTTAAAAATATGATTTTTATGTACTTAAGACTATAGTCTTACCTTTTTAAATTTACATCATTCAAGTCCATTGTGCTACAAGTAAAATTGTTTTTACAAATAAAATATTTGCAATAAATTTATTCCATAATAAGATTATCCCTGCTGGAACTCTATGAGTGATTCCTGCTGGACATCGCCGGCTGTTTTGCAAGATTCAGACAGAATGGCATTGGTGGAGCATGGAGAAACCGAGGTGGTGGCTGCAGCGTCACCGCCTGCCCCGGCTGGGCTGAGTTGCAGCACTGTTGAGAGGGAGTCGTGGCAGCAGTGTGCACAGTGGCTCATCCACGGCAAGGTGCTGTCCACCAACCACCGGGTGACCTGGGAATCACCGCAGGTGTTAGACCTGGCACAGATCCTCTGCAATGGGGTCCTGCTCTGCCAGCTGCTCAACAACTTCCAGGCACGCTCCATCACACTCAAGGAGATCAACCTGAAGCTGCAGATGTTCCAGGTGCTGCCCAAAGACACAGGCAGGTGAATGTTTGTCAGTGTGTGTATCATTACAACAAGCCAGCCAACCAAAACCTTGCATTGGGCAGACTAGGAATACCAATGAAAGTGATTTGAGGTCGCCGCAAAAGCCTCCTACTCTCTCGGAGAGTATGGCGAGTTTCTGAGGGTATCCTGCCTGGATGGCAGAGCCTAGAAAGCTCCCCGTGGCATATTCAATATGCCAAAAACAGTAACAATAACGGGCCTCATTCCCCTGACCCTGAAAGAGCCTCCAATACAGCAGTGTTGGGAAGGACGAGTAAGGAGAGTTTGCTAAAATCTCAGGGCTGGGACAAATGGAGACATTATGGTGCCTGCTCAAGCAGATCGATGAACAATGGGACTACCGTGATACAGTGAATAAGATTATTTACAAAAATAATTTGTAACAATTATTTCTTGAATACAATAGATTTAATATTCTATGTATTTGATATATGGTTCAAGTAAAATGTCATCCTCAATAATTAGTATAAGAAGATAGAAAGCAAGGGTTACTTTAGGAAGGGCATTGCAAACCTTGCTAAGCAGGATTGGACTGCATTCAAGTCAGTGAAAGAATGGCTTTGGTGTTTAAGGAGATACCAGTGCAATGATGGACTGGAAGTAAAAAGACTGTTGCATGACTGTAACATTGAAACTGAAAGCCTTGTAAATGTATCTCCAACAAAATCCAACACTGAGACTCAAAGTGTTGTAACTGTATCTCATGGTAATTCAATAATCATAATAAAAAAGACTATTGTGGAGTTTCCCGTTGTATTTTTGTATATATATTTCTTATTTTTATTAGTGAAACACCATGAGGTACAGTTGTAGACTTACAAAGTCTTGTGCTTGGGTTTCAGTTATACAATGATAGAGTACCCATCCCTCCACCAGTGCACATTCTCCACCACCCCTAATCCCAGTATCCCTCCCACCCACCATCCCCCCCCCCCATTCCACCCTGCCTCTGTGGCAGGGCATTACCTTTTATTCTCTCTCTCTCCCATTGTATTTTAAGTAAAGGAAGAGTCAAACTGAGGAAGTGACAGTGGGAATGATTGAATGATAGACTAAGGGCTACTTAGGAAATCAAACAGAATATTCTTGGAAACCACGTTTCTACTGAGAGTGAAGAAAAAGACACTTTGGGAAAGCAGAGCAGAGTTCAATGCAGGGCATATGGGGCTCAAGCTTCCTATGGAATGCTGACAGATTTCACTTATGAATTTTTTGGTTAGAGTCTAATGTGAATAAGAGCATGAGGAACGTGTGTCTTGGAGGTACCAGGTTAAAAGAGAGTTACTAAGCACTGGGAAAAGAGGGAAGAGGAAACACTATAGGAATAACTTTTTCTCAATCTCTCCATAGATTTTGAACTATAATCTGAGTCTTACGTTGAAGCCAAGCTAGGAAGCATTCTTCTAAAATACAGAAAGAATTTTATCTTAAATCAATGTTCTCTGGGTAATTTTGTTTCCCTGGGAGTTAATTAGAAATATCTAGAGATATCTTTGATTGTCATAACTGGAGGGTGGTATGAACCACTGTTACTAGAATCTACAGCTGGGACCAGGGATGCTACTAAATATCCTCCAATTCACAGTGAAGACCCCACCAACAAAGGATCATCTGGCCCCAAATGTCAGTAGTGCCAAGGTTGAGAGATCTCCGCCTTAGACAGTTGAGCTAACAATTTTGTTGTAAGAGCTGAAATCACTCTTAAATTGTTTTTCTGATCAAGAAACACCACAGTAAGATTCCAGTGTAATGCTTTAAAGGACTTTGATATTCCAGCCAGGAATTTCATTCTGATTAGCTTTTCTCATTCAAAAGGTCACTTATCTGGTCAAAAGCCCTTGTGAGGGTGTGGAGGAATAGCACAGTGGGTACTGGGGTTCAATTCCCAGCATCCCATATGGTCCCCTGAACACTGTCAGGGGTAATTCCTGAGTGCAGAGCCAGGAGTAACCCCTGTGCACTGCCAGGTGTGACCCAAAAAAGCAAAAAAAAAAAAAAGCCCTTTTGAGCAGAGTACCCTGCCACACAGCACACTGAAGACTCCAAGAAAGTTAATTGCTATTACCAGATGAGCTCTATTGCACAACCAGATCCTTAATGTCAGTTAGCAGTTGATTCAGAAAACTGCAAGGGATAGATGGGAAAGCATCCTTAACGAATGCCAAAGACATCTGAAATATGGGAGCGTAAGAATGAGCTCCGTATTTCCCTGTTCATTTTCAAATATAAAGACAAAGGTATTGAGTGGTCAGCAATAGGACTGTGTGAAGAGCACTTATTACTGAAGACCAGTTGAGTGAGCTTACAAAACTCCTACTCCAATTCTGTAATCTTAAGAAAATTGCTTATGTTATCATGTATGGTATCATTTTAAAAATCTATAAAATAGAAGATAAAATTAAAAAGAATACTTCAAATAGCTGTTATTGGGCACAAATAACACATAAAGCGTCTTGTGGGCTGGAGCGATAGCACAGCGGGTAGGGCGCTTGCCTTGCACGTGCAGACCTGGGTTCAATCTCCGGCATCCCATATGGTCCCCCAAGCACCGCCAGGAGTAATTCCTGATTGCAGAGCCAGGAATAACCCCTGAGCATCGCTGGGTGTGACCCAAAAAGCAAAATTAAATAAAATAAAGTGCTATCTTGGGGCTTGATAGTACAGAGTAATAGTACAGTGGGAAAGGCATTTGCCTTGCACACGACTGACCCAGATTCGAGTCTCAGCATCCCCTATGGTCCCACCCTCGCCCCCAGCACTGCCAGGAGTAATTTCTGAGTGCAAAGCCAGGAGTAACTCCTGTACATCACTGGATATGACGCAAAAGAAAAAAAAGTACTAGCATTAAAGCAGAAGACAGAATCAGACTTCTGAGGTTGAAGAGATAGTACAGCAGGTACTTCACTTGTGTTAACCCAGTTTCCATCTACGGTACACCATATGGTCTCCTGGGCACGTCAGATCCCTGAGCACAGAACCATGAGAAATCCCTGAACACAGCCGGTGTAGCCCAAAACCCAAAGTAAAATAAAACAAGTAAGAACCAAACTACTGCTTCCATAGTGACCCTCTATTAAGGGTTTTTAATCAGTTGTCATATATTTATGTTTAATGTTGGGAATATCATAATACTTAGTGTTTTATTTTTAAATTATATTAAAAATTTACTGATAAACACTCATTCAAAGTGTGACATTCATGCTGTTAATATTAGTTTCTACATAACAAGGGGGGAAAGATGAAAAAGATTTATACTTTTAAATTATAGTTTTCATATCCATAATAAAAAAAGGAACTCACGGGTAAGGCAGTCAGTTACTCTGAAGGATATCAAAGAATCTGACACAAAAACTACTTGCTCACAAACTAAATATTAAAATTACTTTAAATTATTATGTATTTTTTGTGAATTATTTAACCTTTCTGTATTTTTTCTTATCCTTATTCCTATCCTTATTCATAAGAATAAAACATACCTAAAATTGCTATGAATATTAAATAAAATATTTAGCCTAACATACCCAAAAATGTTCAATAAAAGGTAGCTATTAATATTTTTATCTTAGCAAATATAAATGTATGCATATGCACATTGTAATTGGGTTTCTAGTCTACTATGAAGTTAGAGAATAGTTTTGGTTGCTAATTTTAAATGCAATCAAAGAAAATTATATATTTTTAGCTAACTTATTATTTCATTTCACTTGGCTCCACTCATTAATTATACTTTGAGTTCATTAATCATGTTACAAAGGAGAATCATTACTATGGCCAGATGTATAGAAACATTCCTTCCCATGAACCATACCTGCCAGCTAACTTTTCAGCCTGAATTGAAGCCAACTGTGTAAGAAAGTATCATACTTCCAATGATACAGATATATATGTATATGTATATATATATCACTTAATCACTTAACTTCCCGTTAGTCGTCAATTTGCTCGAGCGGGCACCAGTAACGTCTCCATTTGTCCCTGTCGCGTGCTAGTGTAGCCCAATGGCATCTGTTCGCTCTGGGAACATGAAGGGCCTCAAACCGATCGTTCATGATCTTGACGAAGAAGTTTGACCATCTGGTAGGTGGGCGGCCACGCGGTCTTTTGACATCCCGTGGAATCCAATCAGTAACAGCTCTAGTCCAGCGGTCGTCTTTAAATCTCATTACGTGACCAGCCCATCTGATTTTCGACACCTTGGCATATGAGACAGCGTCCCTGATCCTTGATCGTCGACGGATGTCAGAACTCCGGATTCGTTCTCTCATTTGAGTGAAACGTGATATTCCAAGCATAGCTCTTTCTATTCTTCTTTGGGAGACCTGAATAGCGTTCTCATCTTGTTTGCGTAGGGCCCAGGTCTCTGAGGCATATGTTAATGCAGGAAGAACAGTGGAATCAAAGAGATGTGCCCGGAGCCAGAGGTTCTTCGTCCTCTTAGCTATTTCTTGGACGTTCTTGAAGGCGTTCCAAGCCGCTCTCTTCCTCCTGCGCAGCTCGGGTGCCAGGTCATTTGTCATGTTGACCTCTC